CTCCAACCTTTATGAGAAAGACAAAGGAAAAGGTAAATGAATCCTCATAAAAGGCGAGTGGGTGGCCAGGAAAGTTGATATGTACTGGTCCAGCCTAAAGAACTGGATTTCTTTTTCTCTTTATGCACTTCTCAATCATCATCATCTAATGTGACTTGTCTATTTTGTGCACAAAACCTGTTTATAGTCTAAAAATTTTATTTTCTTCATTTTTGTTTTTAAGATAGATTACAAACTTTTAAAGGTAACCAGCTATTCCAAAAACTCTTTATTCTCACATTCCAATTTTATTTTATGAAAATTTCATCTCAGCTGAAAGCATTCTAGGTGTTTTGTATTTAATACAAATGTAGTGTTATTTTAATGAATGTTTGTACAGTACTGGTCCTTTAGTTAAACTAAAAAAACAGGTGCACTGGACATTGGTAATAGAAGGTAAGTTTGTTTCAGGAGCCTAATTGCTATGCTGCTTACTGTAATAACACTGGCAGGCATTTGCTAATGTTCTTGAGTAGTATGATTTTTGCAGTGAAGAAATACTGAAAATGCTGCTTCCAGTTATTCTTACTGTAATTTGTCAGGGTTTTTTTATTTATTCCAAATATATGGGTCTTGTTTACTTAGGTCAAAGACAGCCAAATTTGCAAACATCTGCAGAAACCCCAGTTAAGTAGGCTTTCTTCTTTGCTACTATTGGTCACAGTTTGTTTTTATGCCAGCTCTGGTTTTTGACCATTTTCTATGTGTCCTGCATGTTCTGTTTGAAATAGTTTACAACCAAGAGACACTTGACCAAGTACAGCTGATCCACTTCAGAAAGACTTCGCTGCCAGTTGTCCTCATGAGCCAATACTGAGCAATGCAAAACATTTTCTGACAGATATGAGTACTCATCTACCACAGCTTCTAGTGCAATCAAGCAAAATCAGTGAAAGACTCTGCTTGACTTCAATGTGCTTTCACTCAGATTTGCAGAGCCTGGTGTTTAAAGGTATTCAAGGTGCCTAAGGGGGCTGGAAGCACCTTGTGGATTTCTCAAGAGTCATAAAACATGAGCCAAGTCCCAGATGATTCACTAAAAATTCCTGTGGCTGTGTTGTAACTGGCAGTATGGATTACATATATGATTAGCCCTTGGTGTAAGATAATGTTGAATCACGTTTTAACTCAAATGACAATAATCTATACTCACTCAGGCCTCTTCTGAATTGGCACCTTTACCCCAGCAGCATCTAGCCAAACAACCAGAATCAGATTTGCAGAAACACAGGGGTGGACATCATGTCCAATGCTTGTCCTACAATTCAATGGCAGTTTCAACAACAGGACTCTACTTTTCAGGCTGTATTTTGGGTGCTGAGCCAAACCAGCCCTCAAAGTTTCCTTGGAACAATATTAATTGTCATCCGCTTACTATTAACAATAGATTAAATTATCAGGAGCATGGTGCTCTCTTAAACACTACTATTCTTGCTAGAAATTGCCTTCCAAAGTGTTTTATGCACCTGTTGTAAAAGGGAAATGACATTTCAGTTTAACAAAAACTTTTTATTATGCACAACCATTATTAATGGATTACACTTTTAATCCACTTTGTCACATAAATAGAAAATCTATGGTTTGATAGGATTAAGCATTTAACAAAGTGTTATTATTATTATTATTGCTTTTCAAAAACAGTTATTTTCTACAGAATTTTTTTTGTACTAGTAAGTGTTTTAACCTCTTCAAAATAAATGCTTATTTTGGACTTTAAAGGCAGGCAGTTGCTGCTTTCCCAACAGATCAGTGCCTCACTCATGCTCCCATTAAATTCAATAGGAAGAGGAGCATGGCCCAAGAAAATAATCTGTAGAAAAAAGAAAAAAAAAATCTATGTTCTATCAACCTAATAGACATTAAAAGAATTAATTATAAGTCTCAGAAATGAGGAAAGTCGAACTGACATAGCATATAAAGATATCTTTAATAATTATCTTAACAATTGCTAATCACATTTAGAATCCTGTAAAGTTATCAAAACACTTAAGTAATCTGAGCTTGAGATGTTTTCTATTTACTCAGAATTCAAAGAGCTCCTTTCATGTGAAAGGTAGAAACAGCTTTGAAGATAAATGACAAAGGAGTGAGGGAAACCCTAAAGAAATCATACTTCTGATTAAAGTATTTTGTCCTAAACGTAATTTCCCACATTTCTCCTATTCCTTACAGACTTTAAGCAACACATTCGGAGCAAGATAGTCCTCAAATACTTTTTCTCAATACTATCTTGAGCATAAATTCTAAAATTACCCTATATGCTTTACCTGCCTTATATGTGTAGTTCTATAGCTTGCCTTTTAGTCTCTGTACTGTGCCATTGGAAATTATTTACAATATTCAGAAAGATTTCCTCATCCCTTCTCCCAGTGAGAGAGAACATATACTATTCATTATGTTGATGCAAATGAGGCAGCAGTTAATCATCTGCTTTGAAAACAAGGTACTTGGGCATTATTTAATTCCCTAAACCAGCAAACCATGTGTTTGCTTTTATACAAATTGATCTTGCTATTGCCATGTTGGAAAAAAAAAAAAAGCAAACATGAACTAAATGCAGAGTGAATTCTGGCCTATAAGCCTTTTCCTATGTTTATTTGCACTCAGATAATTTTTAGATTCGTCCTTTTATGTCTTTTTTTCTGAGCCCAAATTTTACTCACTTGTACAAGCTTGCTCATATCAATGAAGAAAGCAGGAATAGGCCCTTAATTTGTAATGGAGCCCAAGCTGCTGCAAAATCAGCACATACTACTAAAAGCTTTAGAAATTAAAAAAAAAAAATAAAAATGAAGTAGGAACAAAAGTTTGAACTCTGTTAGATGGTCATCTCAGTGCAATTCTACAGAAAGCCTCTCTCAAGATTTTGAGGTACTCTCCCGGTCTGACAGCAAGAGAAATATTATATATCCCTACTAATGATTACCCTACAACTTCTAAACATACAAGAAAATAAAATACTGAAAGGGAAATACTAATTTGCTTCAACAGGAAAACAAAAATATTACTGATCTTAAAAGCAGTATTTTTTAATCTGCTTAGTAATACGCCCATAAAGAGAAATCTGCTGAGAAAACAAAGGATGACAGAGCTCTGCTGAGCAGTAAGCCTGAAAAGTAAAGTATTTTTAAAACTGATTGCAAAGCGTGCCTTACACAATATGAAAGATAATAATAATAATGTGGAAGAACAGAAGGACTTCTTGAAGTGAAGACAATGCTTTAGACTTGAAGTTCTAAAAGCCAAATATCCTTACCCCGCTTTACAGAAAGCAAGCATGATACACAAAAAAGTATATAGGCTGTCTTTTTCTAAACCTACTTTGATTCACTGTAATGTTTAAGTATTTCTAGTTGTTAGCCATCAAGAAAATTGTTTTGAAAATAGCACAAAAGACTGGCTAAGTTTGTATTTAATTTTCTGGAGTTTTGGGGAAGTTCCTGTCAAAGAATTCAAATCATCACATGGTGAAGTAAGATAGAGCACCTGACATTTCAGATTTCACTACTAGGAAGTCCCTCTGGAGAGACCAAACCATGTGCGTTATTCATATTTCAGATTTTGGACATCAGGTTTACTTCACATGACAGCGTGGGCTACATATTGATCACGTAGAACTGTGAGCTGAGAAACTTGCTGTGCGGCTTCAGCGTGCTTATTTCCCTCCCAGTGAAACAGCACTGCTTACTGAAACCGAAACGGGGGGAGAATACAGCACTGTGCATGAAAGCACTGCTTCTGGATTACATTACTTTGATGAGGAATCTTTTTGACCTTTAGGGCAGCCGACTTCCACGAGTGACGAAAGATCCCTCTTCACCCTGCAGTGCAGTTCTTCATGCAACTAGAGTGTTGTGAGCTCCCTGCCTTTTATCCAATACTTAGCTATATCAGTTAAATCAGATTAAACTGATGGCTATTATATATTTTTTTTCCCCCTTTTTTTTTTTTTTAATAATTTTGGCTCGGAAGAGGCACCATCACATTTCTATACACACAACAGAACGGGCATTACCATTATTATTTTATTATTTTTTGTTTAGCTTTGGATTTGCAGTACTCGTAACCAACACGAATCCTGAACACAGCAACAGAAAACAGCCCAAGCGACGAGCAGAGGCAAGGCAGGGGTAGGTGAAGGGGGGATCGGCTTGTCCCTCATACCGGCCAGCCCCGGCCCCCTCGCCTTCACAGCGCCGCCCCGGAGGCAGCGGCGCATCCCGGGCGGCAGAGGAGGCACATCCCGGGGCAGGGCAGGCGCATCCCGGCGCACGGCAGGCGCATCCCGGGCGGCAGAGGAGGCACATCCCGGGGCTGGGGAGGCGCATCCCGGGGCTGGGGAGGCATATCCCGGGGCAGGGCAGGCGCATCCCGGGCGGCAGAGGCGGCACATCCCAGGCGGCAGAGCGGGCGGCAGAGCGGGCGGCAGAGCAGGCAGCAGCCGGCGGGGCGGTGGCGGGGGCTGCCCGCGGGGCTCCCCCCGCCT